CCCTATCTGGTTTGTAGTTGCTTTGAACTTTCTGTAAAATCTCAAGAACATTCTGTGATATTTAACTTTTGGAAAGATAAGGTATTTTATTGTTTTTATGTGATTTCGCTGCATCTCTTTGTCCATTTAAAAGGCTTTGTAAATTCTATATTGTATAAAATAACTTTATTGCTCTAGAACAATGGGTTTAGTTCTCAGGTCATAGTTTAATAATTTTCCTTTTCAAAGTTTGAAATAAGGCGGCATCATTTTCAGTGAAAAATGTCTTTGTGTTTAAATGATATTATTGAATTACATTACAAAATACCAAACTGTTAAGAGACAGAATTGTATTTTCTTCATACTTTGAGGCTTGGTATTTATAAATATGTGAAAGCGCCAAGCATTTACTTAGATCTGTGCATTAAAAAAGTCTGTTTATTTGAATGGGAACTTCTAAATCACTGGAATCATCAAAATGTTATTTTTAATTAGGATCCCAGACATTAATCTGGGGGTTTTTTTGTGTTTTTTTTTTGGTAGCAGGGATTGAACTTGGGTCCCTGCGTTTGCACAGTGGGCGGCGAAACCACTGAGCTAAATCCGCGGCCTCCAGACATTAATCTTTATTAAGAAATAAGAGCCATTTAAGAATTTCCCAAAATGGATCAGTGGTTTTCTTTGCCATGAGAAAACATTTATAAAGAAGTAATAAATGAGTTTTTAAAGTTTTAGTAACTTCAAAGGGAAAGTTTTTTTACTATGAATGTTAATATGAATAAGCTAAGAAATTATGGAATTTTCAGTTCTAAAAGACATAAACTATTGGTGAGGAATATAAAATCTGATTAAAGTAGTATGAAGTTGGTCTTTCTCTGTTATTAGATGAGTTATTAGTGTAAATTTAAGGCTGGGCATCATAGCATACATATATAATCCCAGGAATTTGGAAGCTAAGGCAGGAGAATTGTGAGTTTGAGGCTAACCTGGACTACATAGCAAGACCTTGTCTCAAAAAAATAAAATTTATAAAAAATTTAAAAACATGAGGTACTTTGGTAGGTGCAATATTATACCCCCATTAGCTGGGCGTGGTGGTGCACACTTGTAATCTCAGCAACTAGGAGGCTAAGGCAGGAGGATCACTGAGAGTTCAAGACCAACGTGGGCTACATAGTGAGTTCAAGGCCAGCCCAAACTGCATAGTGAGACCCTATCTCAAAAAAACTAAATTAATTCATTAATTTCCCCACTGTGTGCTGTTAAAAAGAGTAGGTGGAAATCTTAGAGATATGGTAAGTCAAGTTATAGTGATGTGAAATGCATTGTTTTTAGGTTTACTGAGGTGCTGAGCATTAACTTCTTTGTTTGACTATATGCACATTGATGGAGTTTTAAATTTACAATGTAGAAGGGAATGAGCACTTATCAGAACAGAAGGAAATGTGTGGTTAAACGGTTTCAGCTATAACTGTAGACTGTTTCCCTTGGTCCAAGTGGAAGGAGAAATGGAACTTTGTGTTTTGGGAGTTTAAGGGGGGCTAATCCCTCCTCCCAGTATAGTGGAAACTAGTTCAGCATGTTTTATTGAAGCCCTTAGCAAAAGTGGTTGTGTTTAGCAGTGGAGGGGAATGACATAAACATGTAGTAAAAAGGTATAAATCCTGTAGGTTTTATTTTAGAGATGTCTTGGAAGTAGATTGGCTGGTATATGTATTGTTTTTGTTTTTGGGGCTAACTGGGGATCGAACTCAGGTCCTTGCACTTGCAAGGCAGGCGGTGGAACCACTGAGCTAAATACCTAGCCCCTGGCTGGCATATTTATAATTATTGCTAGTTCTTACTCGACAGCCCTTAAAGCAAAAAGGATCCAAGATTCTTTGTGAGGGAACTACTGAATTTTATAAAGAAAAATAGGATGCTTCTAGCTTTTTTCTCAAAACAAGAAACTGGCTTACTAATTTTCTGAAATTATATAGATAACAGAAATTTTTAGGGCCCGGATTTTAGCTCAGTGGCGCCACACCTGTGCCTTACAAGCGCAGGGTCTTGAGTTTGATCCCCAGTACCAAAAACAAAAACAAAAATTTTTTGTTCAGATGCACTGAGACTATCCAAAGAAAATACAGATTTGGTGGGTTTTTTTTTTCAAATTTGACGTTTATAGTTTTTATCTGTATCATAATAAAATATTCACTCAAGATGATTACATTAGTATCATCCTCTCTAGGTGGATCTTTATTCTTAAGAACGCTTATTTATTTTGCTTTGCTTTGTTTTGCTTGGGACAGGATCTTACTATGTTGCCCAGGCTGGTCCCCTACCCTTGAATTGAAACAACTCTCTTCCCTCAGCCCTTCAAGTAGCTGATATTACACATGCAAATGTTTACCGCTAAACCTAGCAGCAACAATTATGTTTTTTTGTTTTTTGTTTTTTGGTACTGGGGATCAAACTCGGGACCTTGTGCTCAGGCGGCAGAAGCACTGAGCTAAATCCCCAGCCCAGGAACAATTGTTTTTAGCCAACATGAGAATTAGCTATTCTGTAGTGTATAAGGTACTGTAGGTATTGGATGTGATTCATTAAGGAAGTCTGCTAATTTTCTTATTTAAAAGTGTTCCCATTTACTAAGAATTCAAGATTTTTTTTTTAGGTTTTCATTAAGTTTTATTTTGTTAATATATAGTACTTAATTTCGATAGTGGGTTGAAAAAACTATTTTTTAGACAAATGGTTGATGTTACATGTAGTCAAACTCATGATTTTAAAAGTACTGTATACTGTGTTTAAAAGACTGAAGTAATTTGAATTAAATTTCTTCTAAAACATAGTGCTTTGCCATGGATCATTTATGGATACTTAAGGACAAACTACATACTATCTAATGTTATATAGCAATGAATGTATTACCAGTTGAGGTTCTTTGGTTAAAAGCAGTACAAATCAACTCTGGCTAACTTAGGTTTAAAAAAGAAAAGAAAGCTTAAAAAAGAAAAGCAGCTCAGGCTGAGGCAAGAGAATCAGTTTCAGTGCCAACATGGGCAACTTAGTAAGATCCTGTCTCCTTCAAAAAAGAGAAAAAAATAGAATTTATTGTCAAGGATCTATACCATACCTTATAAAACTAAAGGGAAGTCAGACCTAGTGGTGAATGCCTGTAATCCTGTACGGGGTGGGGGGTGGGGGTGATGATAGGGGACAAACGGATGGATTACTGAGGCCTGGAAATCCCAAGTTTGAGCCCAACATGGGCAGTTCAGTGACTTAGACTTTGTCTTTCAAAAGAAAAAAAAGGCTAAGGATACACCTCAGTCCAAAAGCCCTGGGTTCAACCCTCAATACTGGAGGATGAAAGGGGAGAGAAGTGTAAGAGCCTGAGAGCTTGGTTAGCTGCTAAAGTTGAGGGAAGCAGTACATGTTCTCTTCAGAGGATAGTGAATTCCAGCTGTTTTCCATCTTTATATCTTTCTAACCAAGATTCAGACCATAAGGACAAAAAATCTGGTTGTCCTGGCTTCAGCTGGAAGAGCAAAGATACCCATTTAAAACATTACCTAACTACACACAATTTCTACAAATACTGTATAATTTCCTTTTAAAAGTAACCTGGGCCAGATGTGGCACATGCCTCTAATGCCAGCACTTAGGAGGCTGAGGCAGAAGGATCATTGTAAGTTCAAGTCCAGCCTGACCCACATAGCAAAACTCTGTTTCAAATAAAATAAAATAACCTGGGAGAATTGTGACTAGAAATGAAATCCTAGGAGCTAGGAGCTGGGAATGTAGCTCAGTAGTAGAACACTTTTTCTAGCATGCCTAAGACCCTGAGTTTGATCCCCAGGAGCATAAAAAAAAAATTCTAGTATGGCTGATTCTTTTATAGAATATGTTCAGAGGGAGGGTGGTGGCGGGGCGAGGCAGGCGGGCGGGCTGCCGGGACTTTGGATGGATATGAATGGCCAAGCAGTCTCAAACTTGAGGCCACATGGACAGCCTGGCGCTGGGCTGGCGATGGAGCAAGCTAGAGGAAGTGCCGGTTTCGAGGGACGCGAAACAGGCATGCAGGACATCAGAAGCCAATGGACATGAGCGAGGCAACTATCAGGTGAACGCAAGACGAGTGTCCTGGGGGCCTGGAGGACAGAGGACACGGAGCCTCTTCCAAGAGGCTGCCCCCCCTGCACCATGGCCCCTGATTCCTCAAAACAGTGGAAGGAACACAATTCAGCCTTGCCCGAGATGTATTGCTGGGGAATCAGGGCATTTTAACCATACTGAGAATCGTTAGAAATTGGAAATTGGGCAAAGGGAAGATTCCAGTTTCGATTTTGAATCCTCAGTGTGACTGCAAATGTAAATCCCTTACAAATAGTTTTGGCGCCCACCTGTTCAAATAGCAGCCTGTCTGCTGCTAGATCGTCCTCTCATTCTGGTGATACACTGTCCTCTACACGAGAACCAGGAGAGTCCATGTCACTTCCAAAGAGCCCCCAAGTTGTTATGATTTGCTACAGCCTCCATTCAGATGTGTCTTGCCTAAGAGAAAGATCAACTGCATTATTTAAAAGTTTAAAAAATGTTGTATCAAACTTCCTATGAGGTTTGGGAACCATGTGGCTTATGGAATCATGTCCAGATGTTGCCCTGCTTTTATATTTCTATATTGCTTTATGAGTGTATCCAGGACTGCTCATGTACTCTTTTTAATTAAAAGACTTATTTTTATATTATAAAATGCTCTTGAAGTGAATTTTACTAAACAGTATCCAATCTGTTCTGTGTCATTCTCCAACTGAAGTTATCAAGGACAGCACTCCTTTTATATTAAAATGGAAATTGCTCATTTAAAAAAATATATGTTCAGAGGGTGTTGTTTCATGTGTATGTGTATACTTTCTATAATTCATTTTATAATTTTTTAAAACAAACTCTGGGGTTGAAATAAGTAAGCTTAATCCTTTATTTTCATGCATTTAATGGCTTTTTAATGGTTTTCATATCTCTTTTCTGTGACTCAGGTGTATTTAAAGGCTCCCATGATTCTGAATGGAGTCTGTGTTATCTGGAAAGGCTGGATTGATCTCCAGAGACTGGATGGTATGGGTTGCCTGGAGTTTGATGAAGAGCGAGCCCAGGTAGGGTGATACCATGCTTTGCTGAGCCTAGTTGGTTTATTTAGCCCCAATATTTCCTTTTTCTGGGGACCTATTTTATATAGTATTTAGAGGTAAATATAGAATTATTACATTCAGGTAATATTGAGGAATTCTGAAAATATTGAAACCCACATTCTTGTCCTTATTTTTGGAAAGTTTTACCTTCGGTGGTTCTAAATTTCATTGGATTACACCTGTTTGCTTGATGGGAACTTAAAAGTCCTGTAGCATCTGTTCTTGATCTTTAGAAAATTATGAGAATAACACCACTTTTGGTATCCCTAAGTGAGGAGCTTAGCAAATGTCCTCTCCAAAAAGCATTAATAAACTGGGCAAATATTGTTTTAAAAAATTAAAACATTTATTTAAGGGCCAGGAATTTAGCTCAGTGGTTTCACCACCTGCTGTGAAAGTGCAAGGACCTGAGTTTGATCCCCGGTACCAAAAAAACCCCCAAAAAACCATTCATTTAAGCTCTCTGGACATTAACCAAGTCATATAAATTGAGAGACATTTATTCAGACAGAGCTATGGAATTTTAGTAGGATCAGTGACAATCTGTGTGTGGCATCCTAAAAGTCAGGAGCTGCAGTTGCCCCTTTCCAGTTCTGTGGTCCCTCAATTTTTACACTGGATAAGCTATAAGGGCTGGTACCTCTGCTGTCCTGTTAGAGAAGACTGATTTTACTTAGAGCAGAGTTTGGGGGAAAAAAATCCATGCCCAGGGCTAGTGTTGAAAACAATAAAGGTCTCTTGGACAGTCTGGCAAAGCTACTGTTGGAAGCAATAAAATAACAGTTCATCCAGAATTTTATCAGAGAGATCTAGGGAAAGAGTTGACTGAAGTGGCCCTACTAAGATGATATTTACATGGTACAGAAACTTGTGTACATGTACAGGGCTATACCTGCTATAAAGAGAACATAGAGGGGCCTGGGATTTAGCTCAGTAGTTCTACCACCTGCCTGGCAAGCGCAAGGACCTGAGTTTGATCCCAGTAGCCAAAAAAAAAAAAGAACATAGAGGATCCTTGCAAGCTCCCAGTCCCTGCTAAGCACAGAGTAACTGCTAAACTCCTTAAAGTTTGACAGCATTCTGTCATGGCATTCACGGAACCAGTGGCAAAGGATAGAAACCTACTGACTCAAAGTGTAAGCAAAACCTCTGGCCAAGCACTGGCTGACATGACAGCTAAGCTACGCTGACCCAGGAGTAGCCTCCCAAAAAGCAAGGCTTAAAAAGAAAAAAAAAAGGAAAAGCAACATTAACTTAACATTGATTTCAGCAACTAGTCAATGTAAGACACTGAACAAAAAGCACCAAACAGCTGGATGCAGAATTCAGAGTTGCGATAGTATATTATTTGAAATTTCCAGTTATCAACAAAAATTATAAAACATGCAAATAAACATGAAAGTGTGATTCATACATGGAATAAAGAGCAAACAGTACACAAGGCAAGCATTCTACCACTGAGCTATGTCCCCAGCCCTAGAAAATATCTTTGAGGGGCCCAAATATTGGTTCTGAGAGAAAAGTCTTCAGAGAAGTTACTTTATGTTCAAAGAACTAAAGGAAAATTCTTTCCTTTAAAGATTTAAGGAATTTATGACGACAACAGTCTTCAAATAGAGAAAATTAATAGATTTCTTTTTGGTTTGTTTGTTGTTTTTTTTTTTGCAGTTCTGGGGATTAAACCCAGAGCTTTCGCACTGAACTACAGCCCTATTTGCTTTTGTTTTTTTGGTGTCAGGGATCAAACTCAGGACCTTGTGCTTGCGAGGCAGGCACCGGAACCACTGAGCTAAATCCTCGGCCCCATATTTGTTTTTTATATTGAGATGAAGTCTCACTAAGCTACTAAGTTGCTCTGGCTGGGCTTGAACTTGTGATCCTCTTGCCTCAGCCTCCATACCTGGCAAGAAGTCTAGTTATAAAAAGAAAAAAAAGAATTAAATAAAAATTCTAGAGCTGAAAGGTAAAATAACTGAAATGGAAAATTTAGACTCAACAGCAGATATCAGCTGGCAGAAAAATTAGTGAACTTGAGATAGATTAATAGAAATTACCTGGCCTGAAGAACAGAAAGAAAAAAAGGAGAAAAATAGTTTCTGAGACCTGTGGAACACTAGCACACATACTAATGTGCACATATACTACTAATGTAATGAAAATCCAGAAGGAGAGGAAGGAAAGAGGCAAAAAATTTATATTTTAAGAAATAATGAGAGCCAGATGCAGTGGGGACATGTAATCCCAGCACTTGGGAGGCTGAGGCAGGAAGATCAGCCTGGGTTGCATAGTGAATTCAAGGCCAGCCCGAACTACATAGCAAAATCTAGTCTCAAAAAATGAGCCGCCCCCCCCCCCGCAAAAAAAGAAGTAATGAAGTCACAGTGAAACCCATTCTTTATCATTTGTAAGTGCTGATAATAAAAAGAACAGGGTGGGGCTTGGAAAAAATAATGGATTAAAAACTTCCAAATTTGATGTCAAATATTAATCTACATTATGTAACGCAGTGGACTCCAAGTAGGATAAACACAAAAGAAATCCACACCTAGATGAATCATAATTAAACTACTAAAGGATAGCAAGAATCACAGGGGCCCCAACGACTCTTCATGTACAAAGAAGTTACATGAGATTAACAGCTGGCTGCTTTTCTGAGATTATGGAGGTCTAAAGATAATTGATGACATATTCAAAATGTTGGAAGAAAATGTAAAAGCACCAGGTGTTCCTGTCTTTTAATTAACATTAATCTTCTTAATAAAGTTTGCGTTGTGGGGGGGTTTTTTTGGTACCGGGGTTCGAACTTGGGTCTTTGCGCTTGCACAGCAGGTGGTGAAACCACTGAGCTAAATCCCCAGCCCAATAAAGTTTAAAAATAGTGACACAAATAAAAAGGAGCTCCCTGTTGTTTCTTTTTTATCTTTTTATATGTTTGTATCCATATGTAGAGATAGGAGAATTTTCTTACCAAGAGTTCAAAAAAAGCCAGGTGTAGTAGCACACTGCTGTAATTAGGAGGCTAAAAGCAAGAGGATCTAAAACTCTATTCCAGCCTGGGCAATTGAACAAGACCTTGTCTTAAAATTAAAATATTAGGCTGAGGATTTAGCTCAGTGGTTCCGGTGCCAGCCTCCCAAGCACAAGGTCTCAAGTTTGATCCCTGGTACAAAAAATATGTATATTAAAATATTAAAAGAGCTGGGGTTATAGCCCAGTGGTAGAGCACTTACCCACTATCTGTGAATCCCAAGTACCACAAAAATAAAAGGTATCTAACAATAAAACACTCTACAGCTTAGCAAGACTCATTTGCAAAATAAAAAAATACTGGACTATAGCTCGATGCAAAGGCCCTAGGTTCAATCCCCAATACCATAAAAAAAAACAAACCTCATCTTCCTAATAAAAAATTAAGATTCAGGGCCGGGGATTTAGCTCAGTGGTTCTGCTGCCTGCCTCGCAAGTACAAGGACCTGAGTTCGATCCCCTGTACCAAAAAAGAAAAGAAAAACAAAAATTAATATTCAGAGTTTAAAAAAAAATTTTTTGGGGGGGTACTGAGAGTTAGACCCATGATTGCTCTGCCACTGAGCTACATTTCTACCCACCCCATGCCCCCCCCCATCTTTGGTGCTAGGGCTCATACCTAGGATCTTGAACATGTCAGGCAAGTGCTCTCCACTGAACTACTCCCCCATTCCTGAATATTTATTTAGAGACAGCATCTCCCTCAGTTGCACAAGTGGGACTTGAACTTGCATACATCCTGCGTCAGCCTCCCAAAGTGCTGGCATTACATTTGTGTGCCACTGTACTGCCCTTCAAAGTTTGAAAGAATCCTTGCTATCCTAATTTTGAAAATGGCAAAGAATCCTAACTCTTAGAAAAATAACAAACGAGGTGTAGTGATGCACACCTGTAATCCCAGCACTCTGGGATCCTGAGGCAGGAAGATTGCAAGTTCCAGCCCAGCCTGGGTAGCTTGTCAACTTAGTGAGACCACCATCTCAAAAAAATAACAGAACTTGGAATATAGCTTAGTGTGAAAGCTTTGGATTGAAGTCCCATTATTAAGGTGGGGGGAGCTCCATCAAAAGATCCTTCCCCCAAAATGAAAGGACAGCAGAATTTAAGAGAGGAATGCAGCTGTCTTTATTTGCAGAATGTGCATGTATTTAGAAAATCTGAAATAGTCTACAGACTACTGGAAAAAGTAACAATTTACAAGATGTTGGATATAATGCAAGGTTAATAGAGTGTTGTAGTTCTTCATACTCTCAGTAAAGACAAAAGTGATTCTCCACCACAGCCTCTTCCTGCTTCCAATTCCTGATTCTCTGTAGTGTCCATTGCGGTCTTCACATCTAATTGCTGTGTTTTGTCAGTTTTTGCACATTTGTATAAATAGATGCATATAGCATGTTGTTTTGTGCCAATATATTTATGAAATTTGTCCCTATTGTTGTTGTGTGTTCTATTTTTCATTTCATTTTTTTTCTTTGTGTGATCATGCACTATATAAATTCTGCTGGATCGGATTGGATTTTGAGATGAGGTCCTGCTGTGTTCCCCAGGCTGACGTTGAACTCATATTCCTCCTCCCTCAGCCTTTGAAGTAACGGAAAATACAGTGCCTGGCTCTAAATTCTACATTAATACCTGTTTCATCATTTTCAAACTGTTGGTTATTATAAATGATATTACTTTAAATGTACTAGCATGCATCTTGTGAGAGCTATGTGTACTGTATTCATACCTTGGAGTAGAACTGCTGGCTATGTACAGCCTTGATATTTAAAGCCATTTTCCTGAATGTTATGCCAGTTTTACATAACCAACACACCAGTTACTGTTCCACATTCTTACTAATGTCTGATTTTTGTCTTTTTTAATTATTCTGATAGATGTGTGCTAATATCTTACTATGATTTTAATCATTTCTCTGATAACATAAGACACATTGTAAAGTGCCAACTAAAAATCTTTCACCCAGTTTTCTATTGGGCTGTCTGTCTTCTCTTCATGAAAATATTTTCTTACTGGAGCCAGGGATTTACCTCAGTGGTTCTGCAGCCTGCCTTGCAAGCACAAGGTCCTGAGTTTGATCCCTTGTACCAAAAAATATATTTTTTTCTTACTGAAATGCAATTCTTTATATATTGAATAGGTCCTTTGTCAGAAGGTTTTCCTTCAAATGAAAATATTTCTGTGTAATTATAGAAACTCTGAATTGTGTTTACTGATTGTATTTCGATAATTTTAGTTTTTTTAATTTGTAGGTGTAAATTTCAATGTGTTCTTTTACACCCTTGATTTGTTTGTGTTTGTTTTTGGGTTTTTTGTTTTTTTTTTGAGAGAGAGTCTTGCTTTGTAGTTCACACTGGTCTCCAGCTATGTAGTCCAGAGTGACCTCAAACCTGTGGCAGTCCTCCTGCCTCAGCCTCTCATGTGCTGGGATTACAGGCATGAGCCACCATCCCTGGCCTCCCTTGGTTTTTGTTTTTGGTTTTTTTCTTTGGTACCAGGGACCTTGTGCTTGCAAGGCAGGCACTGGAACCACTGAGCCAAATCCCCAGCCCACCCTTGGTTTTCAATAATCCAATTCTCTAAAAGTTTTAAAAACTGAAACATTGGCATTTCACTATCAAATTCTTTGATAAGTTTCCAACTAATTTGAACAAAATGTGACCAACTCATTTACTAGAAAAAGATCAATGCTGCTGTAAGAACTAGGTTTCACAGTAGCTCTTATTTTTAAATTATATAACTAAACCATAAATGATTAGCAGAATATCCAATTCCTTTGGATAAAGTATTGAATTACATGTGTATCAGAACTAGTTCCTAGTAAATTGTATTTCGTGTTTTTTGACTCAGTGGGAATATTGTTTTTTTATACAGTGTGTTCTACCAACATTTGTAGTTGTATTATCAGTGTAAGAGTCAATAATTTTAATCTTCACTGTTGTACTTTCTAATTGACTTTATTTTGTAAATCTTAAAAAAGTTTTATTTCAGTGTAATGACTTCCAAAAATTTTTTTAGTTTCATAATTGGATTAGAAAAATAGAAACATTGCTGGAATTAACAGATTTTATATTTGAAGTATCTGATACAAAATGGGTGTCCCTTTAGCTGTTTGTAAGGTTTTTCTGTTAATGAAGCTAATGTATAAACAGCTTTGCTTTCTGTATGCACTTAAGAATGTGGATAAAATTATTTTGAAAGAGTCATTTGATTTGAATTTAAAGTACATTCTGCAGTGATGGATTAAATGTACCATTTGTAGCTGCACATGTTAAATTGTTGCTTTTGAAGTAGATACTGATACTTCAGCAGATTTCTTTTGGTTTTCCTCTGAGAAATGATACTCTGATCTCCGTAGAGTAAAAAATGTCTGTTGTTTTGGGGTGTGTGTGTGTGTGTGTGTGTGTGTGTGTAGCATCAGCTAATACAGTAAAGGTAAAAACACTACCACAAGAGTGGTCAGAATATTCTGTGTGTGGTCTTATGCTAGGACTGTTAAACCTTTATTTCCCACATAGATTTCACAGCCACCCAACTATGATTTATGTTAACTCCACCTGCTGCTTTGTGCAGATTGTGATATAGAGCATGGAGTAAAAGGGTAGTATGATAAGGAGCTGGTAGGGAACTAGAGCATAGGAAGCCCCTCCTGTCATCACTTCAGACTGGATAGTTAGTTTTCCCTAAATATTAACCTACTTCACAGGTAGCAGGTAGTTGAAGCAGCAAGGGCTGTCCTTGAAAGAGGGAGCAGGGAGCTCTTACTTGTGTTGGAACAGGAAAGATCAGGATGACTGGTAATTAATTGCCCATCATCTTTCTGATTTTACCATTTATTAAAGTGTGAATTCACTATACATGCATCTCACTTGTCACCAAGACAAGTTAGAACTAGAAAGTAGAGGGCTATCAAGTCTCTCCTGCCTTGTTTTATTGTCACAATTAGTAATACTTTTTATTCTTTTAATGGAAAAAAATCTATGACCATTGCTAGAATACATACTCATGGCTAATAACTTTCTTAGGGAATTAGATCATGTCTCATTGTTACATATCCTCATTTTAACCTCTCATTTTCTTCTATTGTACTTAATCACGGTTGATGCTTTTGTATTGATTTGTTGATTTTATTTCCATTTGCCTCATTGGACCAGAACCTCCATGAGGAAAAACTCCATTTATTTCTTCATATGCCTATGGCATCAAGCCTAGTGACTTGGACATAATAAAGGCTCCATAAATATTTGTGGAACTGGGCATGTTGTTGCACACCTGTAATCCCAGGACTTAGGAGCCTGAGCCAGGAGGGACACTGCTAATCGAAGGCCAGCCAAAAAAAAAAAGATAAATAAAAATAAGTATTTGTGGAAGGAGTAAATAAGTATATGCAGAGAAAAGAAAGTTATCAGAAGGTATGTCCAAATTGGTACCTATCCAAAATATAGAAAGCCCTTGGGAACTGGGGACAGTATTCTGAGAATATAGTAGGTATGTGTAGTGATATTTATAGTGAAGTGTGTGAATTTTATGTATTCATAAATGCTTATAATTAATAGCACTTAGCTGGGGATTTAGCTCAGTAATATAATGCTTGTCTTAGCAAGCGTAAGACCCTGGCTTCAGTCCTCTGCACCCCCCCCCAAAAAAAGCAGTAATAACACTTATTGAATGCTGTCAGGTATTACCTTCATAAGTACTTTTTATTTGTTGTTTAATTTAACCTTTACAGTGTTTTTGTAAAATACTACTATGCCCATTTTACATGTGAGTTTACTGAAACTTAGTGATATGATACCCTCGCTCTGGGTTCTAAAGCTAGTAAGCACATGGCAAGAATGTTCATTTTTTGTTTTGTTTTCATTTTTGTTTGGTTTGGGTTTTGTGTTGTATTTTTGTGGTGCTGGGATTGGACCCACATGCAGGATAAGCACTCTACCATTGAGCTGCATCCTCAGCTCCAAGAATAGCCATATGATCACATCTTTCAGCTCTGTTTATGTTGTGGACATTGTGCCACTGAAAACTAAGTATTAAAGAACCCTACTAACCACTGACAAAGGATTTAGTGTGTAGAGCAGAATATCCACCAGTACACAATCCAGGCCTGGTATAATACTTAATTAAATAATTAGAGGCCTTGTCTTTTCATTTTCTGACACTGCCAGGCCCAGCACATGACTGCATCCTGATTATGGTTGCAGGATGGCTGCTGCATCTCTGGGTGTTGCTGCAGTTCTCAGGAAAAAGGGATGGTGAAATGTCTCTTAAATGACTCTCAAGGGCCAAGGATTTAGGTCAGTGGCACTGCACCTGCCTTGCAAGTGCAAGGTCCTGAGTTTGATCCCCAGTACGGGCGGGTGGTGGGGTGGGGGTGGTTAGAATCCCCATTAGATTGCTTATAATCTCATTGACTAGCACTAAGTCACATGGCCACCCTTTATGCAGTGATTCTAGGAAAGTGAATATTGATGTTTTTGGTATTATTTTAGATCTTTTAGTTTGTTCCAGAGTACTGTTGAAAATTTTTTTTGGTACCAGATATCGAACTCAGGACTTTGTGCTTGGGAGCCAGGTGGTGGTACCACTGAGCTAAATCCCCAGCCGTATTGAAAATCTTAGTACACATTCATAGTAAGTGACTGCAAGCCTGGCATGGTGGTGTGTGCCTACGATCCCAGCTACTCAAGGGGATGAGGATCACAGGTTTGAGGCCAGTCTTAGCAATTTAGTGAGATCCCGTCTCAAAAAGAGCTAGAAATATAGTTAGTGATAGAATGCTCCAGGTTCATTCCCCACCACTGGAGGGGTGTCAGAAGATGAAGAGGAAAGAAGTTTGTGACTGCAAAGATTGAACATCCTGTGCAGTAGACAGGGAGCGTTTCTTTTTGTTTTTAATGGGCGGTAGTGTGATCAGATTATGTTTTAGAAGATGACATTGATAGCTGTGGTGGGTGGGTGGAGTAACAGTACAAGCAGAAAGAGACCCCAAGGGAGACTTTTACATTCCTCTAGGAAAGACCTCTTAGGATTCAGAATGATGAAAATGTTTATAGAAATGAAGAGGAGACTAAAAAGCCCAAAAATACATAGGTCAGTGGATGAGACTTAAAGGTTAGTGGACTCTCTGGAGACAAGGAGAGAATGAAATGCCAAAGGTGGCTCAGATTCCTAGTAGAAGTGAATGAATGATGTCACCAGCTGAGATTAATGAAGAACAGGTGAAAACTTAAAAAGTAGTTGCCTTTTGAGACAAAATGAGTGCCGACATCTCTGCTCCTTCATGTGTGTATCTTCAGTAACTAACTGGGAAAAGATTAGGATAGATATGTTACATGCTACAAATATTTTCCCCTGACTGTTTCCCTTAGAATTGTATTTTTTTGTTGTCTAGAAGTTTCTAGCATCCACATAGTTCCTGTTAATCTTCTCTTTAATGTGTATAGCTTTTGTGTACTAGAGAAGGATTTTCTTAGCCCAACTGATAGACATATTTGTCAACTTTTTTTGTACTTCTATGGTTTAAATATTCACTTGGTCAGAATTTTACATTGGTGCGTAGAATGAGGTAAGGAAAAAAAGAGTTTTCAGTTAGCATATGATAGAACATGACTAGTAATTTGAAATTTCTCTTTTAAAAGCACACCCAAATGTTTAGTTTTAGAATTTGAGGGGTTTTGATACTTTTAAATACTGCTGTTTCCTTCAAAAAATAAAACCTCCTCAAATTTTAAATTTTATTATAAATCAGAGTAAAATAGGTATTTTGTGTATTCTGACAGCAGGAGGATGCATTAGCACAACAGGCCTTCGAAGAGGCTCGGAGAAGGACACGTGAATTTGAAGATAGAGACAGGTCTCATCGGGAGGAAATGGAGGTGAGAGTTTCACAGCTGCTGGCAGTAACTGGTTAGTACTTTCCCCCAAACTCTCAGGCTGTGTTTGTGATGTTTGTGCATAATGTCTTTTAATACTTTAATTTTTTCTTATACTTTAAAAAATTGTACTTGCCTAGTTTGTATTTATTAAATGCAGTTGCTCTAAAGAAATTTAATGCAATTTTAAGCTTGTATATGAATTCCTCATTGTTATTGGTCTCTAGGAAAGTCATTTACTTACAAGGTGTATTTTCTTTTAATTCATTGATCCAAATATCTCTTTTTCTCTTATGTTTTGATATTAGTTGTCAAAGTTATCTTATATTAACGTGGAACAGGGCCGGGGATTTAGCTCAGTAGTTTCACCACCTGCGCAAGCACAAGGACCCAAGTTCGATCCCTGGTACCAAAAAAAAAAAACCCCTAAAAACATGGAACATTATTAAAGCATTATTTAGACAAAAAAATATTTTTTTGAGATGGTCTTACTATGTAGTTCTGGCTGGCCTTAAACTTGTGACAATTCTCCTGCCTCAGCTTCCCAATTGCTGGGATTACAGTCATGTGCCACCATGCTGGTCTAGAATATTATTAAAACTATTTGGGAGTAATATTATTTTCCATTTTTCTGTGAATATTTATCTTGATTTTGAAGTAATATAATCCTCAATCACTTGTGTATATAGAGGAAAATTTAATTGGGCTACTTAATGGAATTAGCAAAAAAAAAAAAAAAGAATGGAATTAGCAGACTTTTTCTTTTAACCTTTTTATTTTAAAGTAAAATATAGATAGCTGGGGATTTAGCTCAGTGGTTCCCCCACCTGCCTCACAAGAGCAAGGTCCCAAGTTCAATCCTCGGTACCAAAAAAAAATAAAATAAAATATAAATAATAGAAATCCACACAAAAGAAATACGTCACTCTAACCATGACCTTGTCACTCTGTGGTTCAAACTCAGGACCTTAGGTTCACTAGGCAGGCGTGGTGCCACTGAGCCACATCCCCAGCCTTCAAGATTAATCATTATACAGTACCAATTTTTTGTCTTTGTTGTTGTTGTTCAAGGGATCGAACTCAGGACCTTGTGTTTTCGAGGCAGCCGGCGGAACCACTGAGCTAAATCCGCCCCCCCCCAGTACTGATTTTTATAATGATCTCTTTCTTGTGGTTCTTTCTAGTTTTATTACCATAAGTTTGGTTTTAGACACTGAAATTTAATCTTGCCCAGTTTTTAAATTTGATGTCTTATTCTTTGTAGAACTTGGGATTGAACCCTGGGGCTTCACATGCCAGGCGAGAGTTCTACTTCTAGCCATACCTCCAGCCCTTTTTATTTTATTTTTGAGGCAGGATCATGCTAAGTTTCCCAGCTTAGTCTCAATTGCAGTCCTCCTGTCTCAACCTTTCAAGTAAGCCAGGCTAAATTGGTTGTCTTTTGATTAACATGTACATTTAATTTTTTTCTACATAAAATTACACCCTATTTTTAAAATTAATATTTAAAGAATATACAAATTTTTGAGAAATACAGATTCTTTGGAAAGTATACTCTTGTACGTCAGGGTGCATGCTTATAATCCCAACACTCTAGGACTCTCAGGCAAGAAGATCACAGGTCAGCACAGCCTAGGCAACTGAGTGACTGAGTGAGACCTTGTCTCACAATAAAAATACTTGTGTATTGCCAGGGATTTAGCTCAGTAATTCTGCCACCTGCCTTGCAAGCACAAGGTCTGAGTTCGATCCCTGGTACAAAAAAAAAATTTTGTGTGTGTGTATTTAAAGGGGGGTGGGAATGTAAGGTTCGTGTGAAGGCCATGGGTTCAATCTGCAGAACTACTAGGGAGCAAGGAGCCTGGAATATTAGCTTAGTGGCTGAGCACCCTTGGATTCAATCTCTAGTACCTCAAAAAAATGCATAAAAATTTAACAGTTTTTTTTAAAATTTGTGTTAGAGCCAGGCACAGTGGTACATGCCTGCAGTCTCAGCACTCTGGGAGGCTAAGGGAGGAAGATCACAGTTGGATCCCAACCTGGGCAACTTAGTGATGTTGCAAGACCCTGACTCAAAATATAAAAAGGCTAGGTATATAGCTCAATGCCAAGGCCCTGGGTTCAACCCCTAGTGCCACCAAATGGTACTAAATACTACTCTTAGATACAAAGAGGAGAATAGTGGTTGCCAGGTGAAATGGGAGTAGGTGCTTAATGGATATAGACTTCTAGTTGTGCAAGATGAAAAGTGTTCTAGAGAGTAGTCATACAACAATGTAAATATAGCACTCCTGAACTGTGCACTTAAAACTTGTTAAGATGGTAAATTTTATGGTTATGTACTTTACAATTTAAAATTTTTAAAATTTGGACCAGGGATTTAGCTCAGTGGTTCTGCCTCAGCACAAGGTCCTGAGTTTGATCCCGGGAACAAAAAAAAACAAAACAAATGTTCTGTATTATGTAACACTGATGTTAAATTACAATTTTTTTTTTCTTGTTCCGGGGATCAAATTCAGGATCTTGTGCTTGCGAGGCAGGCCACAGAAGCACTGAGCTAAATCCCTGGCCCCAGAACTTATTGTTGTTGTTGTTTTTGGTACTGGGGATCGAACTCGGGATTCTTCACTTGCAAGGCAGGCGGGGGAAACCACTGAGCCAGACTTCTGGCCCCAGAACATTTGTTTTTAAGGACAAAGTTATATAACCCTGCTATTTATAGTGACATAAAAGTGTGTATATATACATAAGTGTATGTGTACACAAACAATATTTAAGAACCTAGTTTGAACCACACTGAGAATCTGAGTCTGGAATGCCACTTTGTTACCTTGTACATCTTCACCTTTCTGTGGCTGAGTTTTCTCATCTATAAAATAGGGTAATACTTGTGACTATCTCATGGGTCATTGTGATGCTTAAATGAATAAATACATTTGAAACCACCACACCTGGCAAAATTTTAAAATGTATATTATGCCTTTGTTACATTATACTTCTGAACCTTTTTGCTAATGCTGTCTTACCTTGGTAAATAGAATGTACTTTTCCACTTGTTCATCAAAGTGCAGCTTAAATATTTCAGGCCCTTTCCCAGTCTTCTTACTTTGTAATCAGCCCTTCCACTTTGTAGTTTCCTTATATACTATTAATGAGCATTATGTTGAACAATTATAAACATGACTGTCCTCTACTTCGTTGAGATCCCATGAGATGGAACCTGTGATTTTTGTGTCCTCTTCACATTATCTACCACAATGTTTTTACATTGTGTTTAGTTGTTAACTACATGTACATCTTCAAAAAACAGATTCTATCCTGGCTGTCTGTATACTAGAATTATAGGACAACCTGTGGGATAAAGTAGATAATACCCATTAATGGTCTGCAAAAATTTTTTAAGTTTATAATTTGTTGACTTATATTACGTACTAAAGTAATAAATCCCAGTATGTTGTCCTGGATTCTGCATTATGGCTTGGAAATACAGAGATAAAAATGCATGGGGCTGGGGATTTAGTTCAGTGGTTTCGCCGCCTGCTGCACAAGCACAAGGACCAGAGTTCAATCCCCGGTACCAAAAAGAAAATGCATGGCTTCTGGGCTGGTTGTGGTGGCACACACTGCAATCCCAAGACTCCTGAGGTGTGAGGATCACCATGAGTCCCAGGCCAGCCTGGACTGTAGAATGAGTTCAAGGCCAGTCTGAACTACATAGCAAGTCCCTGTCTCAGAAAACAAGAACAAACAAAATACATGGCTTCTGTCTTTGAGCATCTGTCAGGCTTTCTTTTTGTTTTTTGTGGGGTTTTTTGCATCTGTTAGTTTTGAGGGAAAATGGATGTATACACAGGAAATTGTAATCTCCTTTTAGCAGTCACCATATACACTGAAGGCTCAAAGGGGCACAGTGGCAGTGTAGAGAAAGGGTTACTTAAGTCTGCCTCTGCTTGCAAGATTGACCAGAGAATACACTTGGCAGGAATTTGTAGGAAGAGTGCGGTGTGCCAGCTGGACAGCTGGGGAAAGCTTTCTGGGCAGGAACAGCAGTGTATGCAAAGGCAAAAAGGAGTAAGGGAGCTTACCAAGTCACAGAACATGGTCAGTCATTCTGGAACAAGCTAAAATGGCCTTAAGTGAATGTTATCTGAAAAATAACTGACAATGGAACCATTATTTAGGGTGTTTTATATATATTTTTTGAAAATTAGAGATTGACAAAATTGTTTTAATCAGTTTTAAATTGATACTTACAATGTTGTTACTTAAAGTTTGGTATGTGTTTATGTGTCTGAACAAAAATACAGTCTGTTGACAGAGGTGTCAGATAATGTTGCTCAGATTGTTTCTATTCAGCTTTTTGTCAGTGATTGAGGAACATGAGCTTTGTAGTCAAGTCTAGTTTATACTCCTACTCCATCACTTGTCAGTCTCTCTTAAGCCCCAGTTTTCTCATAGAACTTATTGGAAGATTTAATTGGAAAATGCTTGTAAAGCACTTAGCATGGTGCTCAGTATGTGTACGCCTACAGTAAATAATAGCTCTAATGTACTTTAGCACTAAAAGCTCTACCACAGTGCTGGTTCCAGTTAATTGAATTATCTGGCTAACAAGAACATACTTTTAGTTCTCTAAAGTATCTCAGGGCTCTTTCCTTGGAGTAGACCTAGAGCACAGAGAAAACAGTTACATTTTCATCAATGATTTAAGACCTGTAATTCCTTACAGCAATAATTTGAAACATTAGTTTTCATAGAGAGCTGTCATTTAGGAGATTGGGCTGGAATCTGTCTACAGAGCATACACTGGCAGTGATGTGCAGGGCTTCAGGTTTGTGTATCTTTAGCTCTTTGTGTACATACACATTTTGCTTCCTTGGTTGCTTCTTTTTTTTTTTTTTTTTTTCCTGGTTGTTTCTTATCCAGAAACACTTCTTTTTCTTTTCTTTTCTTTTTTTTTTTTTTGGTACTGGGGATTGAACTCGGGTCCTTGTGCTTGTGGGGCAGGTGGCAGAACCACTGGGCTAAATCCCCAACCCCAGAAACACTTCTAATGTCAGCTTATTTTCGGCGACAGTTTGCTTCCTTGTTTCTAGAAGAACAGTGGAGGAAAATGTTGTTTCCCTTCTGCTATTCAAACATCTTTGTGAATTCAAGTATTATCTAATCTGTCATTCTTATTACAATTGATGAGAATCCCAGAAAAATTGACTTACTGTCTTCAAATAGTTGGTTAATGAAAGAAAAAATGAGGACTTAAACCACAGTTTCCTAACTAGGAGGCCTCCACAAATGTAGTCTAGCAGTTGGAAATTAGTTTCCATACCACCAATAAAGATGATCAAGCTGAAAAGTAAAGTCTCCCAGGAGAAGTTAGAAACCATTTTGCCTGGAATAGAAAAAGCTGAGGCAGAAAAGAATTAGTACTGCTTCCAGTGGGTGGTCCTGATGCCTAACTAGAGTTGAGGGCCAGGGAACAGTGGTAACTCGTGGGTGGCAGAAACCCAGTAAATGGTCTTTGGAAGCCAGAGATTCTGGCAGCACAGAGGCTTAGGGATGTCTGGCACTGTTTGGATAACCTCTGGGACCTCTAGCCCTGCCATACTAAATTTAATGGTGCTGCTCGTGAGCATTTAAAGTATGTGTAAAATTAAGGTTCTGACTATGGGAAGCAGAACTCCAATTGGTTGGTGGCTCAGGAAGTTTTGATTTTCACAGTGTCTTTTAACCTGAAATCAGTTATAAAACTCCCTGGGCGTGTTACCATGTGTAAAATTTTGAAAATTTTCTATTCATTCATGGTAAAAGGCTATTTTACTAGTATATTTTCTTTGACTTTCAGAGGTAATGAGAGATTATTAAATTGGCAAATGAAAGCCTGAAATTAAGAAATAAATATTTTAGTAACCCTGATGAAACATTGTTAAATCATTGATATACAATAAAACATCATATAAAAGGTACAGAATGCTATGGATAACATCATCCCTGTGAGTATTTTTAAAAGGAATATATTGGTTTAAAAGTGCATAGTTGCCAGCTGTGGTGGTTGTATGCCTGTAATTCCAGCACTTGGGAGGCTGAGGCAGGAGGAATGCTGCAAGTTCGAGTACAGATTGACTAGCCTAAACTACATAGCGAGACTCTGTCTGAAAACAGACAAACAAACAAAAAAAGTGCATAGTTTCTCTCTAGTAGGATACATGCATGAGAAACTGTAACTGGAAACTGGAGGGGGAAGCCTAGGTATCTGAGAAGCAAAATGGAGGATTGTTACTTTGCACTATATATTCTTTTTCTTTATGTATTTTGGGGTTTTTTGTTTTTTGGTTTTTGTTTTGGTACCAGGATCGAACTCGGGTCCTTGCACTTGTGCAGCAGGCGGCAAAACCACTGAGCTAAATCCCAGGCCCTCTTTATGTATTTTGTATCACAGGCATCTCATGCCTATTTAGAAAAAAAGAAAATTCTTAGTATTACAACAGAATAATAAACACAGAAGATCCTATAAAACTTGCTATCTACATTCTCTAACATAGGCTATTTTTTAAAGTATGAAAACCTTCCTTAATTTGAAATTTTATGCAGAGCCCTAGTGTATAAAATATAACAGAGGCATTGCTTTGGGTGAAGCAGAGGTAGAGATTATTCTAGAGTCTCCAGAATGATTTCAGGGAACCCAGTAAGGATCCAATATAGTGGAATAAGCATAAGGTTTGTAATAGATTGCCTGATTTTCATGCTAGCTCCATTCTTTTGTTGCCATGTAATTGACATGGGGAAAGTTGTTTATCCTCCTGAGTCTCATCTTTTGTTTTCTTTTGTTTTTGAGACAGGGTCCCAGGCTGGCCTTGAACTCACTAGGTAGCCCAGGCTGGCTAAGCCTTCTGCCTCATCCTCCTGAGTGCTGAGATTACAGGTGTGTGCCACCACTCCTAGCTCTGAGTCTCATCTGTAAAACCTACTCACATGTTGCTACCTCTGTTGGTGTCTGATGCTTAGAATAGGGACACATTTGGAAGCTAGTGTCTTTACCCCCCCTTTCTGTGCACTTGGGTCATAACATGTCTCGAGTGGCAGTAAAAGTAAGTGTATCCTAATGTTTTAGACTATGAGAATCAAAGATATCATTTGCCAAGCTATTTTAGATTCTAGTCTATTTATTTATTTAGATTGGTTGGTTGGTTGGTTGGTTTGATTATTAAAACAGCCAGAAAGGATTTTGAAGCTGGCAGTGGTGGTGCACACCTGTAACAACCCCTGCACTCTGGCAGGCTGAGATAGGAGGAGTCCAGCCTGAGCAATTTTGCAACTTAGTGAGACCCTGTCTCAAAATTTTAAAAAGAAGAAAAAGGGCCAAGGATGTAGTTCAGCGGTGCAACACCTGCCTAGAAAGTGAGAGGCCCTGAGTTTGAGTCCCAGTACCAAAAAGATAAAAGAAAGACTGGGGATACAACTCAGTGTGAAGGTCATGGGTGAATCTCCAATGCTTAAAAAAAAAAATGTGAGGTGTAGCGGGTACAGAAGTACAGTAGCTCAGTGTGAAAGCCCTGGTTCAGTCCTGAGTACTAAAAAAGAAGACCATCAGCAGTGCTCCTCATTGGTGTCATTGCTGTGTAGAAGTATCCCAGTCCCTTTTCTGTCTGACACTCCTTCCTTGATTGAAAAATTTGGTATATTTCCTTCAAGTTACACATCTCTATAATCAAATGTCTGTCTTTTTGCTCTTGTGACAGAAAATTGAGTTTAATAGGAAACAGGCCTAGTGCTGTAGTCATAGATGAATTAGAAAGACTCTTTATCTGTTTGATAGTACACTATTTCTTTTCTTTTTTGGTTTTTTGAAACAGAGTCTCACTGTGTAGCCTAGGTGATCCTCCTGCCTCAGCCTCCTAAGGGCTGTGATTACAGGTGTGCACCACTACACCCAGCTTAGTACAGGTTCTAGAGACTACTTTTAATTTGGTTGGCCTCTTGACCTAAACTGTAACATAGTACTTTTGGCACTTAATTCAGCTGCAAGGGGACAGGGTACTGAAAGAGATTTTCTCTGTCATTATCTAGAGGTGTTGCTTTTCTTTGGTTTAGATTATAAAGTGTTGGCAAAGAAATGGTTATTTTTAATGTTACAATGAATACATGTTTGTTGCATATTTTACTATAGGGAGTCTTAATACAAATCAGCAAATCATAGAATTTTGATGTAGCAAACCATTTGGAAATAAAAACAGGTGGAAGCTTTATGTGGTTTTTGTATTTGTGTTTTATGTGTTTTTGGAACCTTCTATTCTGTGTGGTAAAAAAAAAAAAAAAAGTATTTATTTTGAATTCCCAAAGACTTGAATTTTCAAATCACTTTAACTGTACCACTATTCATTCTTTTGTAAGAAAAATATAGGCAGGATATAGTCTATATGGGGCCCTCCTGGGATTTTTTTTTTTTTTTGGCAAAATGCAGTAGACGGGAAGATGGGAATAAACTGGGAATATGAACTCAAACCGCAGATGAGACTTGGAAGAGCATTAATGAAGAGGATACTACATCTTACAACTTTTTTTTACATCTTATAACTTTTATCAGTATGTTTTCAAGATGTGGTGATTACATTTATAGATTTTTTTTTAACATTTTGAAAAGTTATTCTGAAGGTTCATATAGGTAAATTGGGCAAGTGGTGAGCAGCTTTGTTGTATTATCAGCAACATGAGTGCTTATTTTGTGCCTAGCATTATACTTTTTTAGACAAAGTCTCACTATGTAGTTCAGGCTGGCCATAAACTCACTATGTAATCCATCCTGGCCTTGAATTCATGGCAGTCCTCCTGCCTCAGCCTCCCAAGTGTTGGGACTACAGGTGTGCACTGCCATGCACAGCTACCTTTGATTCTTAAGCACTTTTAAGTCTCTTGGGTCTCTTTTGAGGAACTGAGGATTAGAGGATAAGAAACTTGCCGAAGTCCACATAGCTGAAGTGGTACAGCCACTCTTGTCCAAACCTAGAAGTGTAGACCTCTACTGTTTCTTTTATGTTGAAATGTTCTTTTATACTTAAAGTTTTCCTGAAGTTGCGTACTTTTTTTTGCTTTTTGAGATAAGGTCTTACTGTGTAGCTAAAGCTGGCCTTGGACTTGTGGCAACCCTCGTGCCTCCCAAGTGCTGGCATTGCAGGTGTGTCATCATGCTCTGCTTGAAGCTGAATGCTTTTTAAGAACTCTTTTTTTTGTTTGTTTTTTTTTGGTACTGGGGATCGAACTCTGGTCCTTGCGCTTGTGCAGCAGGCAGCGAAACCACTGAGCTAAATCCCTGGCCCAAGAACTATTTTTTTAACATGCCTGTTGGACCAGCCCTCACAGTATACTTGCCTGATAGGTGTTTATAATTTTCTGCTGACCCTGATTTTAGTTTTTTTTTATTATTAGTTTTTTAATGGATTTGTGACAAGCATATTTCTCAGTCTCATGTTAAGACATAATTTCTGCCTTGTGTCTCCCCTGGCCTTAACAACAGGGAGAAATAGCAGTGACTAAGGAGGCTGGCATTAGTGCTAATTGTTAAGTTAAAAGTCCATCTTTTCCAGAGGTGCTGACTTTGCCTCCAGCTCTGTGACCTTGGGAGTTTCACTTATCCTTCTTGATCTCAGGCTTATCTTTATGGTGAGAGTTGAACCAGATCTCTGAAGTACTTTGCTACTATTCTATGTTGTGACTTTTAGCCAAGTATGAACACAAAAGTGAACAGCCCATTATCTGGAAGTAGTACATACTCACTGAATTCCACCTGTTTGTAATTATTAAGAGCATTTTTTCCTATAAAGAGTTATCTTTTTGTCTTTGGCCTTTTTTGGGGGACAGGAGTCTCACTATATAGCTTAGACTGGCCTCAAACTTATATGTAGCCTAAGCTGGCCTTCCATCTTGTAATCCTCCTGTCTCAGCCTCCCAGGCGCTGATATTATAAGCATGTACCACTGTGCCAAGCCTGTGAAGATTGTTTTGATGACTTGAATAATAAAAGAATAGAGACCAACCAAAAATGTTTGCTCATTTGGACACCCCTGTTGTTCACTATTTCTGTATACCCCTGGCTATTCAGGGAAAATTCTAACTAGGAAAACTTCATTTGCTGGTTGGTAACTGTACTTTGTCTCTCCTTTGGAGTCATCTAACAACTGCCTCTTAGAAACTGAATTTGCTATATTTTTAGGTGATGGTATACAGAAAGAAAACAGGAGCAACCAGTAGTAAGAGGTCTGTAGTAGTATGTCTAGATTAATTCTTTTATAGATTTTTTTTAAAGCCAAGTATGGTGGTACATGCCTATAATCCCAGCACTATAGGAGGCTGAAGCAGGAGGACCACAAGTTCAAGCCCATCCTAACTGATTTAGCAAGACCCTGTCTCAAAATTAAAAGTGTAAAAAAAAAAAATGGGCTGGAACCAGTATGGTGGTGCAAGCCTATAATCCCAGCACTCTGGAGGCTGAGGCAGGAGGATTGCCATGAGTTCAAGGCCAGCCTGAACTACATAGCAAGACCCTATCTCCAGAAGGAGGAGGTGGTGCTAAAGATGTAGCTCAGTGTGAAGACCCTAGGTTCAATCCCTAGTCAAATACATAAACAAAACGTCCAGGATGAGGCTGATGGATGTCATTTTATATTAAAACTGTAATGTTAATAAAAGGTTAGAATCAAGTGCCCATGTGGATTGACTAGGGAGAAAGACTATGGACTTGATGTTTTAGGTTGGTAAAGAGACCTCTATGTGGACATTTAGTCTATCTTATTAACAATAGAGGAATTCCTTTTAAAATACCCTACATAAGAAATTGCCAGAATAGGAATGTCAGAGCAGGTTATCTAGTTGTGGGATTTCTGTCCTGCGGAAGGTATTTCACTGAACCTAAGTCTGCTTCTGTGTTTGTCTCCTTCACATAACAACCTATACACCTTCCCTCCTAGCTTTTTTTTTTTTTGGTACCCGGGATCAAACTCAGGATCTTGCACTTGTGAGGCAGGAGGCAGGACCACAGAGCTAAATTCCTGGCTCCCTCCTAGCATTTTTTCCTTCCAGTCCTCAGCTTGCAATCATCCCTCTTCTCTTCCCAATCATTCCCATCAGGCTTCCCCTCCTGTTTTTGTTCTTATTCTTGACTACTTGTCTTTCTGTTCCATCTTACCATCCTCATTCTTTTTTTCAGACAGGGTCTCCAGTAAGTTTTCCATACTGTACTAGAACTTGGGCTCCTCCTCCCCCAGCCTCCTAGAGTTCTGGGATTATAAGCATGCATAAATGTTCCTAACTACTCATTCTTGTCATCACAAGGCAGACAGAAACTAAATTCACAAATAGCAGAACAACTTTACTCCTGATCTCCATGATTTTTATCCCCCCTCCTCTAATAGAGATTCAACCCAGGGCCTTTTCACTGAACTGCATTCCTGGTCCTTTTTATTTTTTATTTCTAGACAAAGCCTCACTAAATTGTCCAGGGTGAGCTCCAATTTGCAGTCCTGCCTCACCCTCCCATAATACAAACTCAGCTACAAATACAATATTTTAAACAAATAAACCCCAGCTGTTTCTGCACAGCTATAACCAGTAAGGAAAACTCCAGCTGCTGGTGACTATTCTTTGTCACCCATTTGGAGCCATCCTATTATTAATATAATTTAAAAATTATTCTTTTGCAAGCCAAAAGCATAACTATTCTTTTCAGAGTATTATTAGTAGGTTAGTAGTGATTTATAAATATGTAATAGGGATTGATTTTTTTCAGTGTTTCTTCATTGCTCACTCCCTTTCTAACCTTCATTGACTGAAACTAGATGCTTATATCACCATCTGTGATTCTGCAGAATTGATCTGTCCTTACACCACGCTTAGCATTGATTGTATATGGAACGTAAACTGTTTTTCTGATGCATGTACATCCATTACACTTTTAGTCTCCAACCATGGAGAACAACTTTAACCTGAGTTCATACTTAATTGAAAGGAATATGCTAAAATTTGGCCAGTGTGTAATCTTCTAACAAAAATAGATAAAATCTGCTAGAGAAATACATCAAAATTTATAAGAAGGAGTTAGTGAAGGATTGTATTTGAAAGTAAATGAGGCAGCTGTTGTTTTTGCTAAATAACATAAATGATGACATAGCTAGCTGTAGTTTCTGATTAAATTTGACTTTAGGACTGGGGTTGTAGCTCAGTGGTAGAGAACATGCTTAGCATGCACAAAGTCTTGGTTTTGATTCCCAGCACCTAAAAATAAAAACCTGATCTTACAGTAAAAATAAAATGTGTTGAGACTTTGGTTTTGAAGGTCAGTCATATTCATTGTCTAATAGCTGTTGTAGATCTTTCTTTGTTTTTGTTTTACATCTTTTTCTTTTTTTGGTACCGGGGATCAAACTCAGGACCTTGCAGCAGGCTGCGGAACCACTGAGCTAAATCCCCGGCCCTTTGTTTTACATCTTAATCAGAATGTGAGCTAGGTGTAGTTGCACTCAGGAGGCTGAAGCAGGAGGATCGAAAGTTCAAGGCCAGCCTCAGCTCTAAGGCAAGTTCAGTGATGGCCTAGGCCATATAGTGAGAACCTGTCTCAAAAAAAAAAATTAGCATGTGATTTTGTGCTAAGTATGTTTCCAAAAATGATACAGATGATGCTATTAATACACAGTTCCATTTAGCTAAAGATACCATATAGGTAATTGCAGTTAACCTCAGTTGCTGTTGTATAACAGTTGCCTAACAACATGAACATCCAGGTGAACTGAGTGTGGCTTGGACTAGAATAAGAGTGGTAGAGGTATTCAGAAATAGTCTTCTTAAGGACATATTTAAAGGTTGAGCCATCAGAATTCACTTTTGGATGTGAGAGAAAGACATGTTGTTAAGAATAATCTCAAGAGGGCTGGGGATTTAGCTCAGTGGTTCTGCTGCCTGCCTCAAAAGCGCAAGGTCCCAAGTTCAATCCCCAGTGCAAAAAAAAAAAAAAAAAGAATAACCTCAAGGGCCAGGGATTTAGGTGATTGGTGCCACGCCTGCTTCACAAGTGCTGCAAGGTCCTGAGGACCTGAGTTCAATCACGGTACTGCAAAAAAAAAATAATAATAATAACCTCAAGGCTTTTTGCCTGAACAGTAGGTAAAGTGAAGTTGTCCTTATCTAACATGGGAAAACTTGTGTCAGAGGAACCAGGTTCTGGATACAAACATACTTTTGTCCTTGACCAACATTTGGTGGCATTAAGAGCTTATGGGAAAACACATTAGAATTTGTAAAAGAAACAAAAAAAAGCATCATATGTGTGCCAGAGAGACACTATGTCATATAAAAGGTTTGTATTAGAGTGTCATGCACAATGTTGTTGCTTTCTAGTAAGTAATTTGCCCTAGGTAGTTTAAGAAGATGTTCATTTTACTATGAATCTTGTTAAATCCTGAGTGTTTTTAATTATCAAACTGCTTAATTGTTAAATACTGCTATTAGGATACTTCTGGGTATTAATAAGTTTTTTACTTATAAGACAATACTTTATCCATAGTAATTCTAAATTATATTTTTCAGTTGTGTAATTATAGATCATATACTTACATGACTCCATTTCTTATCTATAAAACAGGGAAATAATAGCACCTATGTCTTAGATTGTTGGGAGGGATTAATATTTTTGCTGCCAAAGTGACCACTGTTGGGAAGGATTAAATTAGTTCATTTATGGAGAATACTTAGAGTTGGTGTTCAATAAATATTAACTGTTACCAAAAGGAAAAACTTGTTTCCATGATTGGCTATGCTATGTTAACATTAAACCCTCTAGTTCCAAAACTGAAAACATAGATATTTTTGTTCTCTTATACATAGTACATATTTATGGTAATACTTTTTAAATGTAAAATGATATTTATCCATAGTTTTTAAGGAAACCAGCAAAATATGTCATACATAATTTTAATTGTTCTTTTTTCTGTGACCTGTGAAGACATTGGCTGAGAAGTGCTTGGTTGTGAACTTATGTGCTACTTTGTCTTATATTTTACATATATAGCATTTTGATTTTTAAGCTGCTTTCTAACCCTAAATTATTATTTTCTCATTGCAGGCAAGAAGACAACAAGACCCTAGTCCTGGTTCCAACTTAGGTGGTAGTGATGATCTCAAACTTCGTTAATAGTAGCACAGCAGATGTGCCGACCATATTCACTTGCTGCTTCTAGCTAGCAGGAATATTTCATTATAAGACCAGAAACTGTGATAACTGGAGGTACTACCACCTGTTTCTCAACCTAAGGCAGTAAAAGACATCACAAACTGCCGTGGTTTGCACTATGATTATAATACCTGCATTTCTATTTTTTATAGTGTGTAGCCAGTAATAATTTGAAATTGTTTTCTATGCAAGCTTACCTTGTTGGCATTATTTTAGTTGAGTTGAAACTATCTACTTGTAAAGGTCTCTTTCCTTCCATTTTAATTTAAAAGTTCATGTCATTTAAAAACAAATTAAAATTTATATCAGAGGGTTTTCTTTAATCAGTTGCTCTAATTTTTTTTTTTGTACTTTAGATTTGTTGGCTATGCAGCTTCTTTTTAGATAGGGATTCTTGGATTTGTTTTGTTTTCCTACTTTTCCTTTTGTGTTTTTACAGTCTACAGCATTTAAAATTGTTGATGTGTTTGCATTATTTACAAACTAAAAACCTAGTAGCATAGAACTGTCTACCACAGCCTTCTCACACAGGTTTACAATGGTTAAAGTTGCAGTATCCTTTTAAATACTAATAATCAGTACTCTTTCTTTCCTTTTTAAATACAAAATTTTTAAATTGGTGTTAATTCTATAATCTACCCCAAATGTTTTAGATTCTGTTCCATAATCATGAGTTTGGGTGAAGATATTCTCCATACATGGTAATATTCTACTGAAATGCCTAAAGAAGTCACAGGCTGGCTTCTGTTTTATTCAGGGATTTTTTTAAAAAGTCAGTTGAAAAAGGGATACTGGAGCTTCTTCATGTGTATAACAGCTTATTAAACTGGAGACAGTGATGAATCAGCTACAAAGGTGATACTGTATTAAAATCATGTTTAAGATAGCTGCTTTGGTGTGTATTTTATATTGCATGCTTTTGTAAAAACAGTACTGGGTGATGAAAGATTAGTCTTAGAGAGAAAATGTTCATCTGTGCAGAGAATACATTTTCTTCCATTATTCTTGGAAAAACATTGACAAGTGTATATGATATTTTGAAAAAGGACTATTAATATAGCACCTTTTAAGATGAATTAGTGTGGAAATATTTTTTAAATGGGCTTATGTCAAATTAAGTGCAACTTTGTTTTTTGTTCGTTTGTTTTTTAATACAAGACTGGAAAAAAGTGCTAAAGCATTTGGCACACCATTACCAATACTTTTCATGGTCATACTCATTAAATGTTACTACATTTCTGAATTTTTGCAAAAATGTATTTTATCATAATAGAATAGCATTATTTTAAATAGTTCAAAAAAATGACACTTAATTCAGAAAATGAAGTATGAATAAGGTCATTGCATTTAAGGTCAAAGCATATAATATACTTGATTGATGAAGGAGATGTGACTTTCATTGTATATAGGTCTTATAATTCATAAACAGATGTCCTGTATCTCAGAATAAAAATATTTGTTTATGTATTTGAAGTCATGCATGGTGTAAGGAGTGTTTAAATTGTTATTAAACAATAATGCATCAGAAAAGACCATGCATATCTTGTGTAACTAAGTACTATGAATGAATTTGGTGTTTGTTGTTCAACTCACATGTTTACACACTCAGTGCCCTGATTTCCCCTGAGGGAATCACCTTTCAAGTGATCCTTACAGTGGTGTTTTAAGGTTACTTTAATCACAGAGCTCCTTGTTTTTTTATTTCTGCACTTAATTTTTTTTTAATAACATGATGGTACATTTTTCTCTATTGTTTCTCACTAAGGGCTTTCAGTCCACCAGTAAATAAGGTCAAATGTTACAAGTGTCCCTGTTGCCATCTTTCTGTAAATACTGAATTTTTCCTATCTTTTAGCATGGCGTTGCTTCTGTCTGTCTTAATGCTGGCGTTAAGATCATAAGCCCTTTTTCTCCAATAGTGAAGGCTTTGAAAACTACTTTTTTAAGTTATTGATGCAATTTGATATTTTTTTCATACTCTATATTTAAACAAAATTTTACATCATTGCATCATCTTTTCTAAATTCATCTCCATTAAAACTTGCCTTAAGCTACTCATTTGCTTTGCCACCATTAGCCATACTGTTTGTTTGTTTAATTTACTTTCACAATAAACTTCTGTGTAGTGAAAACAGCCTCATGCCTCTTCATTGACATAATCTGATAATTTTGTCCTTGTGTTGGTTATGACATGAAAGTTATTTCAGAACCTTTGATTCTTTTTACTTTGCCAAAAAAGACAGCAACAACAGTGACATCTAGTGGTCACTTCTGCTAAGAAGACCTTTTCCTTAAATGTAGAGATTGCAAGGTACAATGTCATAATTTCCCAGTGTATGTAATGGTTTTCAAAATCTAGCTTTATTTTATCTATCCTGTGAAGTAGGACCATAAAACAGTGACATTAGGGGGAAGGAAGAATATTTAATTTTTATATACAAATTTGTCCCACCTTTTTTCTTTTTTTTCTTTTTGAGGCCCAGGCTAGCCTCAAACTCCAAATCCTCCTTCCTTATCCTCCAGAGTGCTGGGACTAGAGGCATGTCCCACCACATCTGGCAATAAAGTAGTGCCATCTTGCAAGCTAGCTTTGGAACTATATACTTACTTTTTTGTATTGGCATTATATCAGGTTCTCTTAGCATGTGGCCTGGCATGTTTCTACACCACAAAGTTAAGCTTTTTAGTATAGAAGCTTGGTCCACTGTAAGGAACAAATTTATTTATTCACCACAAGACTTACTACAGATGACAGAAATACTTTTAAATGCTGAGTTGGCACCATTACGGAAATTTTAACAAGATTCATACTCTGATCATTAATTCCAAAAGAGCAATGACAGCATGACTTTAATAAGCACATCTCTTCTAAAAACAGATATTAGGATATGCTAGTTCTGAGATGCTTGGTTAAAAATCTCTTAATTTATGCTTCTTGAGACAATAGGGAGCTTTTCAAACTATAAGTCTTAATCTATGCTGCATGCGTAACACATGACCCATAAACCTGGCAGCTTAAACAATATTATCTCAAGAGTTTGTGTAGATCAGGAATCTGGAAGTAGCTAGGCTCAGTAGTTCTGGTTCAGTCTCATGTCAAAGTCATCCTGGCACCACACCTGGCTAAGGCTCATCTCTTAATATTTTTGTTTCTTTGTTTTGACACAGGATCTCAGTATGTAGTTCAAGCTCCCCTTGAATTCACTATCATAACCCAGGCTAGCCTCAAGCTAGTAGTGATCCTCCTTTCTCAGCCTCTTGAGTGCTGAGATCACAGATATGTGTTACCACAACTAGCAGGGCTTCATCTCTTGAAGGGCAGAATGTTCAAGAATTTGTGGGCATATTTTTAAAGCTACCATGGCTGTATTTCCATACCTATCTATCTATATATATACATATATATATAATCACATTTACAAGACAACTTTGGTGTCTTAATCTTCAAAAAAAATTTTTTTGGTACTGGAAATCAAACTCAGGACCTTGTGCTTGTGAGGCAGGTGCTGCACCACTAAGCTAAGTCCCCGGCCCTCTTCCAAACATTTTTTAAAGGAGAGGTTTCAAACTTCTACAGGTAGGTGTCAAGGCCTGATTTCCCTTGTATAGCATCCACTTCTTTTCTGTCACCACCATCATACATATGACACAAAACATTCCAAGGTTAAAAAATCGTTGAGTGGGGTTATTGGAAATTGCAGCTTAGTATGTTTAAATATAGGATACTTTAAAACAAATGGGTCATTGTACTACTTACCTCTCAGCTTTTGATTAGAAGAATTTAAGCAACTTAGAGTTAAGGTCATCATTGACCTAATAACTGGGTTTCAGAAACAGGAAGTGAGAGAAGATGCGAGAAGATATAGAATGGTGATGGCAAGCCTTTTAGAGATGAGTGTCCAAACTACAACCTAAAACCCACTTATTTATTGCAAAGTGCCAACACCACAATTAATGTAAATCCTGTGGTTTTAGTTTAGAAAAAAATAACTGCTACATTAATATGTTTTGTTTTAAAACACATGCCGTAAATTCGCCACCACTGGTATAGAGGAAAACATTGGATTTAAGATGATCATCTAGAGTCACACTGCCCGTATGGTAATATGTCCATTGAACACATGAAATGTGGCCAGTACAATCAAGGAAATGAATTTTACTTCTACTTTCTTTTTTTTTTTTGACAGTCTCACTTTCCCAAGCTGGCCACAGACTGGAGAACCTCCTGCCTCAGCCCCAAGTAGCTAGATTACAAATGCCGGATTAAAAATACTGGATTATAAATCATCCAGCTGGTCAGACATTGAGGTAGAATTCTAGAATCTGAGTATCTAACCTTGGTACAGCTAATATGCAGAGATTAATATATAAAGGAGTGAAATAGGGAAAGGAAAACTGCAGGAAGCACTTCCATTCAGGAGAAGAAAGAAGTGACTGGTCAGTAACAATATATTATGAGGAAGACCATTTGAGGGTCCTGAAGGGGCAATATTGTTTGTAGGCTTTTGAGCTTACATTTCCTGTCTTTGGAGTTATCACATATGACAGTTTTACTATAGGACTGGCATCCTTCCTGCCTCCAATGACAGCTCTGCTAGCCACTTTCCTGAGTGACAGCACCATTCATGCAGCTACCCAAGCTGGAAAACTTTCTTCTTGACTCCCATTCTCTCTCATCTCCCATATCCAGTTAAATCCTCCCAATGAATTCCATCAAGTCTTCATCATTGCTTTTGAGGGGCATGGTTTTTTGAGACAGTGTCTCACTGTGTAGTTCAGACTGACCTTGAACTCACTGTGGAGCTCAGGCTGGCCTCAAACTCATGGCAATCCTTTTGCCTCAGCCTCCCAAGTGCTGGGATTACACACATGCGCCACCATGCCTAGCACTATCCAATTTTAAAATTTTTTAGTTACAACGCATTTACTTATAGAGTAAACCAGACACTTATAAGTGCTGACCCCCTAACAAACCTGTAAGGTAAGCGATCATTTTACAGATAAAGAAACTTGAGGCATGGAAAATTTAAGTAACTTGCCCAAGACACAAAGCTATGTAACAGGAATTAGTGAGACAAGAGTTAAGATTCTACTAGTAAGGATTGCAGCCCCCAAATGGAGTCTGCTGAGGACTGACCAACCAGGGTCTTACTAAATATCTTACTAAATACTGAATGTTCTTCAGCTGTCAGACTGGTCCCTACCCCTAGAGCATGATCAGGCAGGCTCAAGGGTGCATGAGCCTTGCATGGATGCTGCATGAACACTACATAGATTGGACCCTAAAAAAATATGTGGTCTCCTATAGGACAGAGGTTGCTACACAATGGCCAGAGCTCCCTTCTAATATCCTTAAAAACACCTATAAAAAGAACCCTCACAGGTGCCGAGGATTTAGCTCAGTGGTTCCGCTGCCTGCTTCGCAAGTGCAAGGACCCCAGTTTGATCCCCGGTACCAAAAAAAAAAAAGAAAAGAACCCTCATGGGTATGCTACTCAGAACCCCCTCCAAGCTAGCTGGAACTTTTCTTTCCTGCTTTTACATCTTTTACTTTCTTGCCTTTGTATCTTTTAAATAAATTTGCTTATACCCTACCACCGCTGTGCAAGGTCTCATTCTTCATCACTGTGGAACACCATTCCAGCAATCTGGTAATAGCTATTAAATGGCAGAACTGCAATTCAAATTTTCAAGCTAGACATGGTGGCACATGCCTGCAATCGCAGCACTAGGGAGGCTGGGGCAAGAGGATCACTGAGAGTTTGAGGTCAACCTGAAATACATAGGGAGACTCTGTCTCAAAAAAACAAAAGAAAATTTTTTTTTAATACATGAGTTTTACTGTGCTGACCAGAGGTTGTCCCTGTATGGCTGGCTTGGAATGCTGCCACGACTACCTGTCTTCCTAAATCCACTTTTTATTAGCCATTTCAGTTCTTTCTGAATAACTCAACCCTTGGTTTGGGGAAATGGCCATTGAAGCACTGTCTCCTGAGATGGTCCACTTCCCAAGTTACCTCCTGCTTCTGCTCAACCATATCCCAAAGCTGTCATTCTGGCCTTTGACAAAAACTTGGGTGGATCACACTTAAATGTGCAAAATGTGCAAAGGTAAACTTTTGTTGGTGACTGACATTGTTCACAATCTACCTCTCTTGGGCCAGGGATTTAGCTCAGTGGTTCTGCTGCCTGCGTTGCAAGCGCAAGGTCCTGAGTTTGATCCTTGGTACCAAAAAAAAAAAAAAAAAAAACTACTTCCCTATTACTGAGGAAATTTGTTAGCGGCCTCCCCAACCTTTTTTTTTTTTTTTTTTTTTCCTGGTTTATCCAAACTGAAAAATCCTTTTTAGGGCCAGGGATTTAGCTCAGTGGCTCCACCACCTGCCTCACAAGCACAAGGTCCGGAGTTTGATCCCCAGTACCAAAAAAAAAAAATCCTTTTTATTTTGTTATGCGGAGGTATGTGGCTTCTCTCCCATAACCCTACTCGGAACAGAAATGTGAGAACAAAAGGGCGTAATAATAGGATCTCTGGCTATTTACCACAATGAGTGACCACAAATCAGAAAGAAGAAAAAGGAAGATAAACGAGGGGTGGGGACAACCCACTTTCCTGTCTCGCTTCTGTCTCAGACAGAAGCTATCTTTCTCTCAAACTTTTCCTACTCTTAAAAAAAAACCCAAAAACTTCAAGCAGGCTTTTATGTCTCCTATGGCTGGAAAAAAACACAGGCCATGCATTCCCCACCCCTTCACACCCCCCATACTGGGAAATAAACAGGAAGCAGTTCCAAAGACTCCCAAATTCCCCAGCCTAGAGGGGAGAGAGGGAGGAAGGGAGGGAGAGATGGAGGGAGGAAGAGAGGGAAATGTATCTAAAATTTGTCTGGTTTCCTGGCTGGCTCACAAAATACATTACCAGGTTTGGGGTGCTGGAGTCTGCTTCTAGAGATAGTTTCTAGGTTAGAAACTAACTAAACTTTCTGTCCTGAGCAAAGAATTGGTCAGGACAATGACCAACAGTAACAAAATTTTATTAGAGGTAGGAAAAGAAATAGGCTCTATCTCTTTGTATCATCAACTCCTGGCACTGATGTCAGGTCTAGGCCATCCTATCAAAAACCTGCTTGAG